ACATAAAATTTTTTTAATATTTTTTTGGCATGGAACGCATTATCGTATTTTACATTAATTTATATGGGAAAAATTGTTTCACTTAACAAGTGTTTCGCATTACGAGTAAGATTCTGGAATGAATTATGCTCATTAACCGAGGTTCCACTGTAGATCCAATTACAGGGCGAGAAACAAGTTCACACATCACTGGATATAGAATGTGTTAAAAATCAAAACAAATGTTCGAACCAATCACTGGAACAAGTTAAAATAAAATAATATAAAACATAGACAACACAGTCACTAAACATAATCAAATGTGACTACAACAAGACTTACTAGATGAAAACATATTAACCAGTTATCTCATAAAATTCATCCAGTCTGTAAAAATAATGCATATGAATGGATATTATCAATAAACAATACAATATCAAATAATGTATGTTACATCACTCACACGTTGAAAGAAAAGAGCAACTATGAAACCATCTAACATTCATCAACAATAAATGGAATAAATAACTTCTCTCAGGAGTGTACTAAAAATTCTTATGGTAATAAATACATTCATAAATAAATAAATAAATTCATATAAAACAAGAGATTGTATGCTAAAATAAATAAAAGTCATAGTAGGTATGTATGCAGATCTAAAGTAGATGATTATTTATACATATATTTTTAGTTAATAGGATTTGTCAAGGTTAATTTAGATACTATTTATAAGAACCAAGATCATCCCTTGGGTTCCATTCATAATATTCATTTAAAGAATAAAATGAACCAACAAGAAGAAACTGTTTTAGAGCCTGTCTGAATTTAGTAATATCATTTAATAGAATCCTGATGCCTTATGGTAGATTATTGAATATCGTAATCCCTGAGTAATATACACCCTTCTTCACTTTAGCTAATTTATTAATTGGAAAATGTAAGTCAGAACCTTGTCTGATATTAATGCTGTGTATAACAGAATTAAATTTAAATATATCTAAATTCTTAACTACAGAATTGATACAGAAAATATATATTGAGAATATAAGGGCAGAATATTCTGCCTGAACAATGGATGACAAGAGTCCTTATTTCTTGCCTTCATAATAATTCTCACTATTCATTTTTGTATTTTGAAAATTACATTACTGAGTCATAACTGCAGATACGGTTCTAATAGTATAAACAGCCACATTCAGCTTAGTTACCAACTCATTTAGATCTTTCACTACTGCATCCACCACGCCTTCACAGTCTGCTGTGTCATTACTAGGGACCGGATTTTTATGCCCTAATAATACCTTAAATATATATGCATTTATACATGAAGAACTTCCGAAATATGCACTAAAATATGCACATAAAAATTTATACCAAATATTAAAATTAATTTTACATCAAGTTGTATTTAAAATTTAAAACAACGCTTGCAGTCAAAAAGGAAGGACACGTCACAGACACAGTACACACAGAAATGACTCCCATAGTGGACGAACCATACTATACACAAGTTTCAATTAAGACATATAGATGAATAATCTTAACAAGTTTTAGTATATACAAATTTTATTATAGTTGACGAATAATGTACTTTCTAAATAATTTTATGAAAGACACAAGATGGCAAGCAATGTAATAGCTTAGCGTAAATAACGAACCTGAAGATGGCACTATGTTGCCGAAACATGTAGTAAGAAGTGACATGAAATTGAGTGTACTACAAGACGGCCATTACACACATATCATGGATTAATTTTACATTATTTTAAGACCAACAAATCAATATTTAAGTTCATTTTATGTAATCACTGAATGATTCACTTGCAATAAAAAGCTATACTTAAATATAAATCATGCAACAAAAACAGCATATTTCATTACAAATTTAAAAAACCAGTGGTACTCACATTTAGATCCCCAATCTTTCAACTTCTCTTCTGTTGCAGTTCACAATTACTAAATGTGGTAGGTTTTCCAGAGTTAGTTGCTGCCTAATGTCTCGTAAGGTGTCCTTATAGCGGGAAAAACTTCTTTCCACCTCACACGAACTTAGGGGCGCATGTACAAAAGCCGCTATTTGCTCCACTGTAAGTGATTTTTTTCCTTGGCAGTTCATTATTTTTACTGGCTAAAATTTCTTCAAATTCATAAATTTGTTCATATCCTGGGTTTTTTTAAAGAATGCTGTGTACTTTTTTCCTTTACTACTTCACAAACTCTTCCAGTAACCGAATTCAATTTGGAAACAGTGGTTTTGAACAGACTTAATGACTGATACAAAGTATCACAGCTTGCCTCCAGTGAGGAAATGGCGAATGGAAGATGAGAGAAGTGAGCAGATATATAGAAAAGATTAGTTTCTAGTTCTGCGTTTTTTAGAACATCTTGGGCAATTTGAATTGATGCTGCACTTTTGGGATCAAATGTATTAACGACATTCCTGACTGTTTCTAAATGTTCGGTATAATAACTCGCTGCACACATCCACGTGCCCGAGCGTGTTAAAATTGGTTTCGGCGGAAGTGGAACACTTGGTGCTACTGCTTTAAAGGCCTCTTTTCTGTATGGCACTATAACAAATACCTTCTTCACAGAGGACACCAACTTGTCAACAAATGGAAAATTTGCACGAATTGTTTCTGCAACATGGTGCAACCCATGGGCAAGGCAAGTCAAATGTGTCATATTTGGAAATATAACTTTAAGAGCAGTACCGGCTTTCATCATATAATTTGTGGCATCAGTCACAAAGAGCAATACGTGCTCATACTGAATGCCATTCGGCCATAGCAAATTCATGGAATTGACAAAAAATTCGGAAACTGTGGAGCTGTTTGTGGTTTCAAATTGCTCTACCACAAGAAGTTATGGGGTAGATTGTTCATTCTTATTAAGGGATCCAACCATACAATTTGCAATAAACCGTCCCTCACAATCTTGTGTTTCGTCAATTGATACCCACACAAAATTATCTTGAATCCTATCTCTGATGCTTTCAATTGTAAGATCATAACACTGCTTTATGTAATTTTTGCGCACAGTAGATTCGCCCGGCACTTTGCACTGTGTATACTTCTCTATGAAGTTTCTCAGAGTAGGATTGGTTAGTTTCCACAGCGGAATATCTGCTGCTAAAAAGGCTTTGCATAAATCAAAGAGAAACTATTATTAGAAAATTCACTAAGCAATTTTTGAACAGGAGCACTTTTCATGAATTTTATTTTAATATTCTCTTTATGTATATTGGTGTTCAAATGCTGAAGCACTTGAAAGCGTTTTACAGAACCGTTTTCTGACATGCTCGGCAATAAAGAATTTCGTTATCCGTACTTATCATCTCTCCTTCGAACTCCCGTTGATACAGCTGTAATTTAGTTTTCTGACTTACTTTCACTTTCGGCATGAGTACAGAAAGCTAAACAAACTTAACTACAGACCAGTCACCACTAATGTGAATGGCCCCCAGCTTCAAACGAAGAAGCGTAACGAACCTCATGGAGACTTTGGAAATAAACAAGTGAAGTCCCTTATCAGTTGAATAGTATTACGTTGATAGCGGCTACATGTGAACGCTTCTGACTAATCTCTTCATGGCCACTTTGATGGTACGCGGATGAGGCATGTTACAAGTAGAGGGATAGGGGAAGTACCGTCCTGGGTATTGCATCAGAAACATGAATCATGACGAAATGTTGAGTCAAATATGCAAAATATTCTAATATGGAAAAGAAAAATTCTATACGTGCGACCATGATTGAAAATTTGCACATAAAATTAAAAAATATATATGATAAACATTTTGAAAAGGAAATATGCAGTATAAATAGAGACCTTCCAAAAAAAGATGATGCTTATTCATGAAAGAGGCAAAATATGCATTTATATGCACCATCAAACCATGTCCAAAATTTAAGAAATGAAGTAATTCATACATATATCCAAACGAGCATACTTTCTTGTTGCAAAAAGAAATATCCATTTGCATTAAAATTCTGTTCCTAGTCATTACTGGTTGTCTGGTAATGGCTTCCAATGTTGTAGCTTCCTCAGCTTCTGTGTTGAGGGACTTCTGCCCTTGTTGGCTGGTGTCTGTTTCACAATTCACTTTGTGTTGCTGTGCAACAACTTTCAGCAGTCGGGGTCCTCTGTCTCCCATGCCTCCACCAGGGGTGACCATCTGTGAAAATTTCTGACTGGTCTGTCTCTCAACTGCTAACTGCAGACTCCTGACTCTCAACTCCTCTAGACTCTCTATATTCTCTAGAATGACTCAGCTGTGTTTTGATTCTTCAGATGTAGCCTCCACATGAATCCATCTGCTTCCCACAATTCCTCTGTTGTCACATGTCATCAATGCAGTTGTGGACATGATGTGTTCCTCTGCTGTGTGTAAGTTTGGACATGGTAACATGACCTGGTAGCCCTGAAAATGTGTTTGTTGAACTGTTGTCTTGCAACAGCTATCTCTGCTGATTAAACTATTTTGGCTTTCAGCAGACATGCCACAGTATAGTTAATTTGATGAACTTGTCTCCTCTTCTGGGATATGATGCCATGTAGTTCTTGTAGTGGTTTTATGTTTCATTCTACCTGATGTCCTGATTTTGGATTCTGTAACTTCTTGTTCTTAATATTCCATAAAGTGCTCTAGAAATATCATCTCTACACCTTGTAATTTGCTTGCATTCACGTTTAGTTCGTGGCTCATACAAAACTTAATCACAGTATTCTGAATTGAATTACTGTGCCATTAGAGCTAATAGAATTGTTGCTCAAGGGTTTCAGTCCTTAATTTGAACTTTTTTTCAAGGTGTTACTTATGTTTTGCTTCATGGTACTGTTTTCCTTTGTTCAGAGAGGCTGAAGTTCTCACCTCGACCTGTGAACAAGAAGCTTGAGCTGGGATCATCAGCACGAGTGTACTGCAAGGCTCAAGGTGCTCTGCCTCCCATCATAAAATGGTTCAAGGTGATGTTTTATGTTTTAGTCTTGGAGCTCACTCAGCACAGTATACTGTTCAAAAAACAAATATATGACAAAAGTTGAGAGATATTTAGTGTTCAAAAGGATCAGGTCTTGTAATTACAAAATAGATTTTAAGTTGACCCTAACTAATCTGTTTCATCACAGTAGAAAAATCACCCTCACTTTATCATATTCTTGAATCAAGGCTTTCACTGTGGTTCACTGGTAATGCTGATTCAGCTATTGGGTCTTTCTGCCATATAGCATATGTGAACAAGGTTACTAACAGTTTGGAGGGTCTTTCTACCATAAAGCATATGTGAGCAAGGTTACTACTAACAGTTTGGAGGGTCTTTCCATCATATAGTGTATGTGAGCAAGGTTACTAACAGTTTGGAGGTACATGCTTCCTGCATCTTCAGAATTGAAGTGTCAGCCCTACAAATGAAGGCAACATATATTTCCTCATCCTTGTCAGCACTGCCCACTTCCACATGGTGCAAAGTCACCATTGCTGCATAAACTTCATTACATGCATTTCTGCTCTTCAGTAGATGTGTTATGTGGAAGCAACTACCACAATAGGTATAATCAGAGGCTTACATCTTATTTACTGTTAACCCTATGAAGAGAAGTAGGTCTATACAAAATGTGACCATCTGTTCCTGTAAACCTTCATTTATTTTCAACTTGTATTTACTTTTATTCATTTCATCCCCTCGCTTCTCATTATCTTCTCAGTTAAGTGTCTCTCAGTCCTTTGGGACCCCCGTTTGATGTTCCTCAATTTAAGGTTTTTCCTCATTCAACTGTGGGGCTCTTATGTGTAGTCTTGTCATTACTCCGATGACAACCCACTTCTTCGGAACAGTTTGTTGGTCCTGAAAAGGACCGTGGTTGCTGAGATGCTTGATCGGAGAGGTAGCATGGCGCACACTGGTAAGGAGAGAGGCTAGTTGCGGTGAGTGACCTGGCCGCAGTGTGGCCGTGGCTGGAGGTTGCTTGGTTGCCGTGCGGCAGCATGAGTTGGCGGTTGCTTGATCGCAGCGCAGCAGTGGCTGGTGAAATGCTAGTCGTTGAGCGCGGCCGTAGGAGTTATGAGGCAGTGGCTACGCCAGATGCCCAGTGGGTCGGACAGTAACACGACCACCGGCGAGTCCAGGCGCGGTGCCCCAGTGAGTCGGGTGTGAGAGAGCCGGAGGGCCGAGGCAGTCATGCCTGGCGCAGCCTGCCGATGCCTCCGTAGACTGAGCGCTGGCGACAAAGCCTGCTAGCTGGTGTTGCTTGATCGTAGACTGAAGTTAACTGAAGAACTGAATACTCGGCATTGGAGCTGCCCCTTTTTATACACTGCTCGGTGGGGCGGAGCGAAACTTGAAATTGAGGAGGAAGAATTGATTGGCCAGCACGCGTAATGACGTAGATGCTGGCTAGCAGGAGGTGCCGTATAAATGCGAATGTTTGAGGCAATCTGATTGGTTAGCGCGCGTGATGGTGAAAAGTGATGTGAAGAGCGAGCGTTGCAGAAATGCGTGATAATGTGGGATGTTCCCACACAACATTCAGTTTTAGTGATTCAAAGGCAACAAGTCAGTGTTCTTAGTTTTAAAGTACATATACTTAAAAATTTTCCTCAGTTTAGTGTACAAATATTCTGCTCCTCAAAGGAAACTTAAATGGGGATTTCACTGTATATTGTGGTCTTGACTAATAATTATGTGCTAGTTACCTCTTTTCTTATTTGTATGCAATAAAAAATAGAACCAGGCCACTAGTTAGTTCATTTGCTGGTACCCAGCTGCTATTTGGAAACTGACCACAGTATACAATTTCTGTGCCTTGCTGCCGTTTCATATTTGGCCACTCATTAATATTTATATTAATACTGACCACTCTTTGAGCCTCATTTAGTGTATTTTCAATTTCTGTGCTTGTTCTATTTGAGACCTAGTCTCTTCTTGAATCTGGGTAATATCTGAAACCTGAAACATTCAGAAATGTTATCTGACAACATTTTGTGATTTCTGTTCTAATATTGTCTGCTGTTTGAGACCTGTCCTGCATTTAAAATTTATGTGGTAGTGCCTGTTATCAATTTAAACACAGCTGCTGTTTTCAATTTCTCTGCTAGAACTGGCTATTATTTTAGATTCAGCCACTAGTTACAATTACTGTAATAGCACCTATTCAAGCTTTGGTCGTTTAATTACTCTAGTGTTTAATTAAACATTTCTAGTATATATTTGTAGCTGTTGCTTCATTTTCTTATAAAGTTTCCCTGGTCATGCCATCTAATTCATGTTGGTGTAATGAACTGTTCTTGCTTGTTCTGCAGATGAAACTTACATGTGCGTAAGATGCTTGTCTTCTGAATTTTGCTAGATAATGTCTTAGTTATGCTCTTTTGTGTTGTTTCACAGGAGGGGCAACATGGGGAGCAGAAGTTTGAGATTCCTAACCATGTGAAAGATGTAAATGGCACCTTACACTTCAGTAATGTCACAGCAGAGGATAAGGGGCGGTATATGTGTGTTGCCACCAACTCCCAAGGAATCATCAATGCCACTGTTGATATTGATGTAATAGGTGCGTCTCTGTCTAGTTCTATTATTCTCACTTCATCAGCCCACATCTAAATGAAAATGTGGGCTTTTCTGCCTCCATTCATCTCTCACCTGTATACTGTCCTTTCTGGATTTGCTACAAATGTAGTTTGGTCTCTCTCTCATCTGCTACCATGTGATTCCAGCCAACTTTTTTACTGTCCAATCCAGTGACCAGCTGACAGTGACTGACAATCTGCTGTGACATCCAAGTTTAACCCATTAGTTATTTCTCATGACATATTGTGCACACTGTTACCATCTTCATGTGGTGTGGGTGAGATGTTTCGGGAAGGTATGGGTGAAACCTGTTTCACCTATGGCATTTTTGTTGAACTATGTTGCCAACGTCTCAAGTATTACATCCCAAAATTTTTTTAAAAGAAAGTTGAATTGTTTGCTTATTCTGTTACTGGCATTCCCTTTGTGACAACTGAAAAACTGTGTAAAAATATAAATAAGTTAGATTCCTACAGTTTTTGCAGTCATACTGAAGCACTGTTGGCAAACATCTTGAGGATTTACTGTCTATGTACTCATTTTTAAATTTTCTGTTCTTCCTCAATTTAAAACATGGCTTTAATATTGTAGGGTGCTGAGTGTTGGATAATTACGTAATTGTATTTACTATATTTTTAGGCCGTGTGGAAAGTTTTAAATTAGTTGTCTTTATATATGCAATCGATGAACATTATCCTACTGCATGATGGTGCTCATCCACATGCATGAAATTTGATGAAGGTGACACTGACAACAGTGGACTGGTAAAGTATGGGGCATTTCTCTTACAACCTGGGTTTAGCCCACAGTGGTTTTAATTCATTTGGACTAATGAAGGTTCACCTAGGAATACAGAAATTTGAAACTGATGAACTCAGGTGGTGGAGTCCTGAACTGGCCACAGAGTTCAGATAAAGCATTTAATGCTGCTGGCATTAGTAACTTGCCAGGGTGGTAGAAAAAAAAATGCATTAATACAAAGGGAGATCATCTTGAGCAGCAAGAGTTAAGCAATTCTGTCATGTATATTCTTTTGTAAAAAGAATAAATTCCAGGTGAACCCTTTATCACCAACATACCATATGATACGCATGGAAAAACTATGTGGAATGTTTCCCATTACCTTATCTCACTGGAGGTTTAATATGGCTGCCTAAATAGCGAAATTATCTGTCTTCCACAATTTCTTGCAGGAATATTTGAACAGTTGTGTATTCCAGACATGGCCTACCACTTTAGGTGAAGGCTATGTTGTGTGAGATGTTACAGCAAGAGATGGACTATTTCATTGGATGTCTTCAGGAGTGCATCATTAATCCTTCAACGTCGGCGGGCATTTAAATTCCTACTCAACTCCTCTGCCAGAGGATATTTAAATATTTAAATTGGAGAGTGCAACATTTCACTTAAATTGTAATAAATTGGGAAAGACTGAAATTCTTTTTTTCTAATTTTCACACTACATTCAGAAATGTATATAGAATCTGTGTATTGATCCACACTGCTTTAAAATTATTTTTTGGCACAGTAAGCCTATAAAATTATGAATGATAGTATCATAATACCTTAGAAGTTCAGCTGGGTGTGTTAGTCCTGAAAACATTCCATGTAGGGTCCTACGTCACATACATCACACCAGTACACAATTTTTGACAGACAACACGCTGTGTCTGTGGTTTTGACATCTTTGCAGTTGGTGGAATCCTGCTTATAAAATTTCTCTCTCTTATATGGGCCACTGTTTTGTCAGACGAATGTCGACCCGGCACTTTGTGTTCTACAGCATTAACATATTTCACAGAGAGTCCCTCAATTAACTGAATTCTGATTGACAACTGATCTATTCTTTTCCTTCTGTTATTCCTACATATTATCATCGCATTCAAAAATTTTCTGTTTGCCCCTTATAGTTTTGCATATTCTCCCAATGGATGTTTGTGCTATTCTGAATTCTGTCATCTACCACAGAATCGAGAAAAGCAAAAACATCCATTTTCAGTGTATAACTCTGAATCTGCTAAAACTGTGTTCTGATTTGGTTTGAAGTAACTGTATTCTCCACTGGTCATGACACAACACAGCTGGCCACTTTGTTCCTTGCGGCTGGCCTTGACTAACAAGACTGAATGATGAATATTTATACAACAAAGGGGGATTACAGTGGTACCATTCATATAGTGAACTGCTTATCGTTTGCTACATATCAGTCATAACACACTTCTTAGCCCTTCAGTGCCGGGGGCATTTAAATCGTTTTTCCACTCCAATGCCGGCGCCTATTTAAATAATTAAATCGGAGAATGCAGCACTTAATGCCTAATAAATTGGGAAAAACTGGAATTTTGTTTTTCAGATTTTCACACAACATCCAGAGAAGTATATAGAATTAGAGTATTGATCCACACTACTTTAAAATTATTTTTGGGCCAGTAAGCATATAAAAATTATGAAAAATAGTATTGCATTACCTTAAAAATTCAGTTGTGTGTGGTAGTCGCGGAAACACTCAATGCAGAGGCCCACGCCACACGCATCACACCAGTACACTGTGTCCCTTTTCCTCCTGCGTTTCTGACACACAACGCACCTTCTCTGTGGTCTAGATTTCTTTGCCGTTGGAGGAATCTTGCTGATAAAATGTCGTTCTGTTAGACGGGGCACTGTGTTGTCTGATGGATGTGAACCTGGCACTTTATGTTCCACAGCACTCGCATATTTCACGAACAGGCCCTCAATCAACTGAATTCTGAATGATAATTGCTGAATTCATGTGCCTGTGTTACTCCTGTACACTATCACTGAATTCAGAATTGAGGCATTTAGGAGCCTGCGGAACAGCTTCCTGTACCACTTATTCATGTTCTTCTTATCGATCAAATAAGGGTGAAGCAGCTGGTCCTTCAAATCGACCCCTCCCATTGACTTATTGTAGTCCAATACTGAAACTGGTTTCGCCACCTCCTTGCCTCTAACTGTAACAGTCCTGGTGTCGTGACTGTGATAGGTGGAGATCATGGTGACTATTTTTTTGTCGAACCACTTTGTGACAGAAACGGGTCCAGAATGTTGTGCCACGATTTCGCCTTTTTT